TTGCAAGCTAATTAACCTCTTCCTCACCCCTCCTCCCCTGTTGTCCCACTTGGAATTAAATTTAAGTCATTTTTTTCTTGCATTATATAATATTTAACTGATTGAGATAGAGTCTTGCTAGATTGCTCATGTTCGTCTGAAACCTCGTGGCCTAGACAGGCCTTGAACTTGGAATCCTCCTGCCTCAGTCTTCCAAAGGGTTGACAACATGGACCTGTGCCACCAGGTCCAGCCTCTTTGACTCTTTGTTGTAGCTCCTATCACTATTGACACTATATTTCATTTGTCTATGGAGCTGAATTTGTTCCTCTTGACCGGTATAGCTCCAGTGCCTTAAACAGGGCATGTACACAGGTAATTACCCAATAAATCTGTTGAATGACTATAATGTGACAAAGGTATCCTTTCTTCTCTATTTCTTCGAGGTTTCCTGCTTTTATAAACCCTCAAGTTCAAATACTGCCTGCATCAAGCCCACCAAAGCTCCAGAAATCTCTCTGACTCAGCAATTCTCAATTTTTTTATCACTCACAGAAAGAGACACAGTCCCCATTTCCTCCTTATACAATCTAAAGGTTAGATTACTATACATTTATCTGTGTTATTTAATTGATTCTTATTAGCAATACTAGAAATGGGAAAAATCTTATTCTATAAAAGGATGGACTGAGTAGATGAGGTTTGCTTTTAGGATTACAGAAAGCAGAAATAATTTCAAAGCTCCTTTCCTTATAGAGTCAAAACAGGGAAATTCCTAGTTAACTGAGCTCAATCTGGCTTGTGTAGGTTAACAATGGCTTTCTGTCCCATAATCTCTTTTTTATCCTTGTCTTTTGTTCCTTGGAAGTTCCAGACAAGCAAGTTTGATGAGTTAGTTTTAGCTTGTAGTGAGCTTAAGTGACTCCATTTTGTCGCTAATCCAAAATGACGATCTCTCACAACACACACAACTGAGAAACAACAAACTTTGCTATGTTGTGCTTCTTTCCTTTCCTTCTTCCTCCTTCCTCCTCCCTTGACTCGGTAGCCCTCTCTAGTAAAAGAGTTGCCACTGCCCCTAAAGTTCCGAAGGCTCGTTTGTGTCCTAATCATAGGTGACTGTAAAATCACAGGTTCTCGGTTCTCTCAGACTTAGTGAATGATTTCTGTTGTGGATTATTACTTTAACTGGGCATGGATGTTAGATTTGTTTATGCTGCAGATATTACTTTAACTGTGTAAAGCTGTGTGACATTTGCTTATGCTGAATCTGTTTAATTATGTAAAGATGTGTGGCTGTTTTTACCTTGTCTGCCTAAGACACCTGATTGGTCTAACAAAGAGCTGAAAAGCCAATAGCTAGGCAGAGAGGGATGGGTTGGCAGGCAGAGAGGATAAGTAGGAGGAGGGAGTGAGGGAGAAAAAGAGATGCTCCCAGGGCCAGAAGCCAGGCAGTTGCCAGACAGACAGAAAGACAGCAGGAAAGGAAATAAGGAGGGAGGGAGGGAAAGAAAAAAGGGATGGAAGGAAGGAAGGAGAGGAAGGAAGAAAGAAGGAAAGAAAAGAAAACAAGCTCAGAGGCAAAATGTAGATAAAGAGAACATATTAAAATAAGAGCTAACTAAAGCCAAGCATTCAAAACTAATAATAAGTCTCCATGTCATGATTTGGGAGCTGGCTGGTGGCCTAAAAAAAAGTGTGCTGCAAATTTCGTACTAGAAAACCCATTTCCCAACAGCCCATCTCCCATCCCCCAGCGACTTTAAAGTTATGTGTGGGAGTTTCTGAGTGTTGTGCGGACCCTGCTACACTTTCCATGGGGCGGCCATTTGTAACTTCTTCCTCTTCCTTGTTCAAGAACCACCCAGACCTTCTCAGGTCAGCCTCTTGTTCATCCTAAAAATAAAAGCCTGTCTATTCTGCTCTAGCCAGAGTGTAGTATCCTAAACGTGGCCTCAGAAGGTTTGTGTGGAATTCCCTTAGGGCTGGCAGTGGGATAGATGAACCCCCTTGGCCCTCTGTATATGCCAATGCCTTTTCTGAAGTACATCTAGTGGTTTGCCTGTAGCTCTGTAGGGCCCTCTCAGGGTAACCCCCAATGAAGGCGTCCAGCTTCTCTCAAGGACCTCATGGGGTATCTTTCTCTGTCCCCCACAGCTGCTTCTTTTGAACAGCAGCAATGACAAAATCTAATGACAATTCCTAATTACTATGGCCTACTTCCATCTCAGCTTGAGAGGAGGACAGATGTCATTTTGGGTATCCACCTTTATTTTAAAAGAACTTTTAATTTATTTATTTATTGTTAAGATTTATTTTTCAATTACGTGTTTCCACGTGGGTATGTGCGCATGAGGACGGGTGATCGTGTGGGTTGTTAGATTCCCTGGGGCTGGAGTTATAGGTGCTTGTGTGTTGGAAACAGAACTCAGATCTCTGTGAGAACAGTCCTCGGTCTTAAACACGGAACAATCTCTCCAGCTCCCTAGCCCGCTTTCCACACCACCCTCCCCTCCAAGAACCTCACACGATCTGCATCCTGAACTTGCAATGAGTACATTCTAAATCCTCGTGGCATTTCTCCTTCCTGGTCCATGCCAAACCTCCAAATTAAGAACTGGACAGAGGAGAGTGCACAGAGGAGAGTGCACAGAGTGCACAGAGGAGAGTGCACAGAGGAGACTGCACAGAGGAGACTGCACAGAGGAGTGCACAGAGGAGACTGCACAGAGGAGAGTGCACAGAGGAGAGTGCACAGAGGAGAGTGCACAGAGGAGAGTGCACAGAGGAGAGTGCACAGAGGAGACTGCACAGAGGAGAGTGCACAGAGGAGTGCACAGAGGAGAGTGCACAGAGGAGACTGCACAGAAGCTGTTCTCTAAGTGAGATATCTGTTGTCCTACTGGAGCACTGAGGAGAGGCAGGCCAGAAGAACCAGCCAACCTGACCAAGGACCTACAGCTGCAGAGGATAGGACGAACAACCCTACATTCCGATATTCTCTCCATGGCAACTGGTATATAATATTTGTGCATTTGCGTGGTCTTGTGTCCCTACTGGAAGGTTGGCTCTACTTACTACTACTCTGAGTGACCTCAGCTGCATTCACATCTGGGGACTAAACCAGGGCCACAGAGGAAAGGCTCCATCCTCTTTATGTCACAGTGGCTTAAAGGGTTTTCAGAGTAGAGACGCCTGAGCCCCCAAGAGGCCAGTTTTGAGGTAGGAGCAGTTCCCCCCCACACACACACACACATGTCAGGCATGCTGGGTTTCATGCCCAGCAGAGGGCCCCTTCAGGCTCAGCCTGATACATGAGAGAGGCAGGAGAGCCTCAGGTGTGCCTTAGCAGTGAGTTGTTCTTGGAGTGGAGTTTTTTTTCCCTATATGCTTAGTTATATATTCCATTTTCTTTTAGATTCATGACTTTACTGAATTTAAAAAAGAAAAAAACAAATAATCAAATTCAGAAAATTTGAGTGGAAATATGCTTGAAAAATCAGCCTTCTCAATGGGTCTCAATTGTTGTAACTTAAAACTTAATCATCCTGGTAGCCTCAAGTCAGTGCTTAGGTTTTGGCGTTATTGGCATCAATCAGTCCCTGCAACTCCAGATGTCGTTTAATTTCCATAAAATATTAACCAGGGTGGGACGGCTCCGAAGGTGAAGGCCAAGTCTGTTAATCTTGGTTTAATTTTCAGAACCCACATGGTGGAAGGAGGGATCTCATTCTCGCTGGTTTTATTCTGGTTTACAAGTGCATTGTGGAACATGTACTTCCATGTATGTACACACACACACACACACACACACACACACACACACACACACACTTTGGGAGTTTGAATGTAACTGGCCCCCATAATCTCATAGGAACTGGCACTACGAGGAGGTATGACTTGGTCTGAGTGGGAACAACCTAGCTAGCAGAAGTGTGTCACTGCGGAAGTGGGCTTTGAGCTTTCTTATGCTCAGGATCCCTCCCTCCTGTCTCCAGAGCCTCTTCTGCCAGCACATCTGAAACTGTAAGTGAGCCCCCTCAGTTAAATGTTCTCTTTATAAGAGTTGCTGTGGTCATGGTGTCTCTTCACAACAATAAAAATCCTGAGACACACATACACACTGAATAAATGTGATTAAAATTGAGCTGCCGGGCAGTGGTGGCGCGCGCCTTTAATCCCAGCACTTGGGAGGCAGAAACAGGTGGATCTCTGAGTTCGAGGCCAGCCTGTTCACAAAGTTAGTTCCAGGACAGCCAGGATTACACCAAGAAACCCTGTCTTGAAACACAAAGCTCATTTTTAAAATGTGCCATAATAGTGCTTTCCCCATTGTGAGCAGTGTTCAGATGCCGTGTGTGCAACACTGTTTATGCCTTTTTGATTTGTTGTAGACTTTTATTTTGTTTTGTTTTGAGACAGTGTCTTCTCATTCTGCAGCTCTGGCTGGCCTAGAACTTGCTATGTAAATCAGGCTGCCTCTAACTCACAGATGTCCAGCAGGTTCTGCCTCCTGAGTGCTGGGATTGAAGGCTTGTGCCGCCACTTATGGCTTGTATTTTGATTTTATGTCTCTGAGACAGGTCGACCTTCCTAGGCTCAAAGATGTCCATGAACTCCTGATATTCTTCCCACCTCCATCTCTTAAATAATGGGATTACAGATTTGTGCGCCGCTCCTGGCTCATTTCATGTGTTTTCATTTATCTACTCCTCAACCCAAATAGGTTAGAGAAATAGTCTCAATCCTTTTTAACACTCAAGCCCACTGAGGGACTAAGAGGGGAGCCTGGCTTTAAAGTTATCTGCCTAAAGCTGCCTCTCAAACAAACAGTTAAACAAAGCATCTAGCAAAAAACCGACACTTCGTAAAGTTTCTTTCAGTCACTAGAATATTGGTTGTTAGTTGTTTGTTTTAAAAACTCAGGCACAATACAACTTAATCGTACAAAGGTGGCGCGGGTTAGCGCGCGGGCGCAAACTGTGTGGGCGGGGTCAGGGAAGGCGGGGCCTGAAAGGGCGTGGGCGAAAGAAACCCGGTCCCAGGCACCTGCGACAGGTGGAGCGCCCGGCTCTCGGCCATGTCCGCGGACGCCTCGGAGCCAGAGTCCGGGCCGGGGTCCGGGCCGGGGTCCGAGCCGGGGTCCGAGCCGGGGTCCGGGCCGGCGTCCGGGCCGGGGTCCGAGTCGGCGTCCGGGCCGGGGTCCGGGCCAGCGTCCGAGCCGGGGTCCGGGCCGGGGTCCGGGCCGGGGTCCGGGCCGGGGTCCGAGTCGGCGTCCGGGCCGGGGTCCGAGTCGGCGTCCGGGCCGGCGTCCGAGCCAGAGTCCGGGCCAGCGTCCGAGCTGGGGTCCGAGTCGGCGTCCGGGCCGGCGTCCGAGCCGGGGTCCGAGTCGGCGTCCGAGCCGGGGTCCGGGCCGGGGTCCGGGCCGGGGTCCGAGCCGGACCAGCTGTGCTCCGAGCACCGAGAGCCTCTGAGCTTGTTCTGCCTCTTCGAGAGACGGCCGGTGTGCGCAGCCTGCGCCAGGTTGGGCGGCCGCTGTCACGGGCACCGCATCCGCCGGGCGGAGGAGCACGCCGAGGAGCTGCGAGTGAGCGGGCTTGGGGCCTGGAACTGGGGTGACTGCTCTCGGAGTCGGGGGGCGGGGCCTGGCTTCTCTGTGGCTTCCCTTTCAGAATTAGGTGGTTAGAGGTGTGACCTCTGGATTAAGCTGGATCCGAGTTCGAATTCTACCCATTCCCCGTGAGTCACGGAACCTAGCTTGTTATATTTCACCGGTAGTTTCCGGACATTCATAATACCGCGTGTTTGTTATAGCTGACCTCAGAAAAACTGAGTTCCCTCACACCCCTTGACTCAGAGTCTCCTCCCCTCCCCTCAGATTTTCTGGTGAGGGATCTAGTTCTCTTCCAACCTGGCCTTGACGCGAAGTTGATGAACCGGGGTGAGGAAAATGGCAGGCCTCAAGGCCTCTCCACCTGTTGTGTGGCTCTAGGCTGGTCACCTTCCTGTGATCCCCCACCCCCGCCCTTTCCCCTGAACTTCTGAGGCTGGAGGCCAAGTCACCTTGGTGCAGCGGTTTTATTTTCATTCTAAATGGCTTAATTCCCCCAACCCCACCCTGGCATTGAGCCCTGCTGTTCATTGTAGGGACATCAGCTACTCAACCAGATTGTAATAAACATACCTTGCTGGAAACTGCGGCCAGCAGGGTTCAGTTACTCAGCCATGATGAAAACAAACTTGAGTGAAGTTGATAGAATCAGCTTGCATCATGGGTGAGCATTTTACAAATTCCTAAGGACTTAGATATTTATCATCTCATTCCACCCAGGCTGGGCTTTTGAAGCGTGGGTTTGAATTCAGGTTTTTCAGATGAGGAGGAGACCCACACCACAGCAGGATGATAACTCCTCCCAGACTCCTAATGTTCAGAGCTCAGAGGGCAAGATTCATTGACTGGGCAAGAGGAAACCACTGCTTGACCTCAGTGGTTAGGAAGAGGAAAGGACCTAATGGAAAGCCTTGAATCTGAGCAGTGGGAGGGGTGAAAGCTGGGGCAGGGTGGCAGGCGTGGTGCTATGCCCCAGGAGCCTTCTCTGGGCCACCCTAAGACCTTACACACATGCTTGGCCTTGGCTTAAAGGAAGCAAGTCTCTCCCCCTTCTACTTTAGATTTTGTGGTTTGTTTGTTTGCTTTTCTTTTTTGGTGCTGGATTTAACCAGAGCCTCAGGCATATTAGACTCTACCCCTGAGCTACACCCCTAGCCCTAGCACACACCATGGCTTCAGTACACCCTACTTCCCTCCACCCCTCCTTCAATACACCCCTCATTCCCTCCATCCTGCAGAGAAATTGCCCTGGGAAAAATAGCACCAGTTCACCCGCTCTTAACTTCCGGACCCATGCCTCAAAGTGAGTTAGCAGGTCAGCTCAGTTAGGGACCAGCCGAGGTGCCCATTGTCGGAAGACTGGATAAGAAAAATATGGATATACTCCCATAATAGACACATTAGGTATTATTCTATAATGCAGAATAAAATGACGTGGTTTGGAAGGAAGATGGAGGGAAGTGGACTGAAACAAGCCTGATCAGACAGACAACTGTCACGTGTTTTGTCTCATGGGAAACCTGGACACAAGCCATAGAAAGACAACCTAAGCTGGGTGTGGTGCCACACTCCTGAGAGAGTAAGGCAAGAGATGGCAAGTTTGAAGCTAGTTCGGATTCCATCATAAAGCTATCTTAAAAAAAAAAAAAAAAGCCAGTAGCTTTAGTCTGAGCATTTGGCAGGTAGAGGCAGGAGAACCTTCGAGTTCAAAGCCAACCTGGTCTAAAAGTGAGTTCTAGGAAAGCCAGAGCTATACAGAGAAATCCTATCTCAAAAGAAAAAAAGTCTTAAGTAATATAAAGGAAAAAAGAAGGGCTGGAGAGATGTTTCAGCAGTTAAAAGCACTGATGTCTTTTAGAGGACCCGGGTTCAATTCCTAGCATCCACATGACAGCTCAGAATTGTCTGTGACTCCAGCTCCAAGAGTTCTGACACCCTCACCAGGACATTCATGCAGGCAAAACACCAACGCAATAAGATAATAATTGTCAGAATAAATAAAAATTAAAAAAGAAAAAAGAGACATGAACCTTAGAAGGGGGCGCATTAAGGAAGAGAGGATCAGGGTGGAGGAGGGCGCTAGTGGGTGAAGGGTGATTGCGACAGGAGAGTCACGTGGACCGGTCTATATAGTTAGTATATACTAATAAAACTTTTTATTTATTTATTTAATTTGGGTTTTCAAGACAGGGTTTCTCTAGCTGGTCTCGAATTCTCAGAGATCTGCCTGCCTTTGCCTCCTAGGTGCTGGGATTAAAGGTATGGGCCACCACCACCTGGCTAAAACTTTTTTTTTTTAAAGAAAAAAAGGATAAGGGCTGGAAAGACGGCTCAGCAGTTAAAAGCACTGCAGCACTTCCAGAGGTCATGAGTTCAATTCCCAGCAACCACATGGCAGCTCACAACCATCTATAATGAGTTCTGATGTCTTCTGGTGTCCAAACATACATGTAGATAGAACACTGATACATGAAATACATTTTAAAAAATCTGGAACAGCATAACACTAACTGAAAAGAGTTCTAAAATAGCATATGCTGTTTCATGTAAGTCATAAAAAAGTGGAGGGTCAGATATACCCATGCTTTATTTATAAAATAAAATAAAAAAAGGACAATAGCTAAGCTCAGTTCTCTCGTCCCTGGGTACGTGATGGGAGGGGGTTGGGAGACTTTCTTGGAAGAGGTAACTGGAGCAGCGGAGGGATTGGGTACCTGGAAGTGCCGTAGCTGTTACCTTGTGTGAAGGAGTGGGAAAGGCCTGGGTCTAAGCCAGCTAGCCATCTGCCTCAGCTCCCTCGTTCCCAACCCGTTCCCTGCCCCTTGATGGCTGATGCTTGTGACTTTGGGAACAGAACACTACCGACTCACTTGTGGTCAAAGCAATGAGACTTCATATCAATTAATATTTATTTAAGGCCCTTTATATGCAGGAAAGCATACAAGATGTAGTCCGCAGCTGTGAGAAATAAAGCAGGACAGAGTCAGGGTGAGTCAGTGAGCTTCCCCGAGGAGGCGGCATATGGGCAGATCAAGGGAGTAAGACAATTGGGGGAGGCTTAGACTAAAGGAGGAAGTAACAAGCCCAGAGGCCCTCAGGCAGGCTGGTAAATCTGGTGTTTTTAAGTAGCTGAAGGAAGGTTTGTGTAAAGTAGGAGGTGGCGTGGGAGACAAGAGTTATTCCAGGTAGGACCTGCAGCTCAGATAAGAGGCCTATTCTCACCTCGACTGTATTGGAAAACCACTGGGATTTTGAACTGGACATGGCTGTGGTAATGCGGAGGCGGTCTAACAGGGTTCCTCTGTGGTGGTGACCATCTGGCTAGAATAACAGAAGTGGAAGTAGTGGTGAGGTGAGGGAGGAGGGTTGGGGACAGACCCAACACAACCCAAGTGTGGGCTGGAGGGTTAAGAGCACTGACTGCTCTTCCAAAGGTCCTGAGTCCAATTCCCCGCAACCGCATGATGGCTCACAACCATCTGTAATGAGATCTGGTGCTCTCTTTTGGTGTACACGCAGACAGAATACTGTCTACATGATAAATAAATAAATCATAAAAAAAAGACCCAAGTGTCTTGATGGCCCCAAATGAGTAACTGGATAGGGAGCCCAGCATTGGTGAGCTGGAAGGAAAGACACAATAGGCTTATATGGGATCCTTGACATAAGGTTTTGGGAACATAATTGTTTCTGATGTGATGATATCTGGATTTGAACCGTGGGAGTGGGTCACTAAGGGTAGAGTAAAAGGGAAAAGCTGCTCGGATGAGTGAGTGGCCCATATGCATGAATAAAGACACAGTAATGCCATCTGTGTTGCAGAACAAGATTGTGGACCAGTGTGAGAGGCTGCAGCTACAGAGTGCGGGCATCACCAAGTATGTGGCGGAGGTCCTGCAAGGGAAGAACCAGAAAGCAGTGGTAATTCTCGTTTATTCTCGGTACCGGGCCTCCCCCTAGGCTAAGACTCTAGCCCAGGTCTAGCACAGTCTCAGATCCCTTTCCAGGCTTACAGCCTTGTTTCTACTGAGGAGCTGGCTGCTTCCGTCAGCACAGAGGCTGTGGGACTAGAAAGCAGAATCCTGGTGACTTTGGGTTCAAAGCCAAAAAGACTAGTGCCTTTTTTCCCACAAAATTTTAGACTTTTTAAATTTTATTTTAATGTGTATGATTGTTTTGCTTACATGCATGTGTGTGCACCACATGTGTGCCTGGCACCAGCAGAGATCAGAAGGGGGCATTGGATCCCTTAGAACTGGACTTATAGATGACTGTGAGCCACCATGTGGGTGTTGGAAACCAAACCCAGATCCTCTGCAAGAGCAACAAGTGCTCTTCACAGCTGACCTATCTCTCCAGCCCCAAGACTTTTTTGGAATTATTTTGTGCTCATCTCTAGAATTATGAAGTTCCTTAGGCACTTTTACATGGATTCTTCTTCTCCTTCTCCTTTCTTCTTTTTTAAAGCCAGTATGAAGCATTGAATCCAGGGTTACGTACGTTAGGCAAATGCTCCGCCATTGAGCTACATCTCCAGTACTTTTGAGATATTCTTTTGTTTGTTTTGCTTATTGAAACAGTGTTTTGTGTAGCCTAGGCTAGCCCCAAGACTGACCATGAACTACAGATCCTCCTTCCTCCATATCCAGATTGTTGAGATTCCATGCAAGTGCTTCCGTGACAGGAATTTTTGAAGTACTCATAGATGGCAGTAAACATCCCTATTTGAAGATGAGGAAACAAGTCTCCCAGAAGTGAGTTGACTTGCCCAAGGCCCTACTCCTCATTGCAGAGACAGCTTTATGTCCTGGACCTGCTGACTCTTGGGGCCCCACCCCTCATTCCTCATTGCAGAGACAGAGACTTCTATATCCTGCATCTGCTGCCTCTCAGGCCGCTGCTGCTACTACATCACACTGCTGATCCTTTTTTATGAAGCACCACTCTTATGTCTTCTCTCTCAAGTAGGCCCTTCAGGGCAGGGCCTGTGAATTTCTTTTTGCATATGCCCTATGCCTCACACACACCCCCACCTATACACATAGCATACAGAATAAGTTTGGCACTGCCTTAACCAAGTTTCTTTTAATCGCATAAACTAAACTGGCATAAACTTCATGGTAGGGCACAGACATCTCCAGAAGCTTAAAGGAACAGCACCAGTAACCAGAAAGCAGCTAGGAGTCCACCTATTCTGCATTCATCTCCCCTTCTGTTTGCATGATCTTGATGTCTCTATCTCAGTCTGTCTTTGACTCTCACAGTTTTTATTTTCTTGTCCTATTGCACTGGCTAAGCCTTCAGTAGAATATAAGCTAGAAGCTATAGTAGCAGATCCGGACACAACTTCCAACATTTTACTGTTTCTTTAACAAATCTTTACTGAGCACTTCCATAGGCCAGGCACTGCTGGCCTGCCTGTTTGCTAGGCATTCCACAGTGAACAAAACGTGGAAGTGCCCGTTTGCATGAATGCTACATGCTGGTCAGGAGACACGGACAATAAAGAATAAAATATGTATTAATGTCAGAAGGCAGTACATTCTTTGAGGAAGGGGGCCAGCATGTCCTGAGGGATGGGTTCAGAGACTTATGCTGTGATAAGGAATGCTATCATCAAGAAAAGCTGATATTGCTGGGCAGTGGTAGCACACGCCTTTAATCCCACCACTCAGAAGGCAGAGACAGACAGATCTCTGAGTTCCAGGCCAGCCTGGTCTACAATGTGAGTTCCGGGACAGCCAGAGCTGTTACACAGACAAATCTTGTCTTGAAGAAACAAAAACAAAACAGAGGTAAATTGCTTGCTGCAAAAGCCTGCTGACCTAAGTTTGTTCCTGGAAGCCACATAAAGATAGAAGGAGAGACTAATTCTATAAAGTTGTCTTCTTACCTCCACATATGCACCATGATGTGCACACGCCTACTCACGCACACATACACAATAACGATAAAGAAAAGTTTGAACAAAAGGTTTGTATTTTACTCAGACACCTAGGAAGTGGAGTGATGACGCGCACAACTGCGCAGAGTGTCTAGACAGGTCATCAAGTGCAAAAGACCTGGGCAGAGGGCGCCCGAGCTTCTGGGGCAGAAGGTCCTGGGAGGCTGAAGCAGTGTGAACAGGGGAGATGGCAGGAAAAGTAAAATCAGAGAAACAAGAGGTTCGATCACAGGGGGGGTGCCTTCATTTCAGATATAAACACAAATCACTGAAAAGGTTGGTTTTTTTTTTGTTTTTATTTATTAATAAGGCAAAAGACTTCAATTTAGGGGCTAGAAGGGTGGCTCAACAGTTACGAACACTTCCTGCTCTTCCAGAGAACCTGAGTTGCTGGCACATACTTTGGGCAGCTCAGAACTGCACTTAACTTCAGCTCCTGGAGATCTGACATGCATGTGGTACACACACGCACACACACAGGATCACAGACAGATTGGGATTTCAGTTTAAAAAGGAACAGCTATAGTAGGAAGTGGCCATAGGCAGCGAAAGTAAAGGCCAGGAGAGCAAGTGAGCTGCAGGTACAGGTGAAGTCAGTGTGCTTCAGACTCAAGTGAGCTTCCTTGATATTCACTAAGCTGTTGTCCTCCACACTGTGAAGATATGGGTCTCGGTTTCTTCTACAAAAGAAGGATGACTGTTCCTGAACTGTACAAAGCAGGTCTGCAGGCACAGGGCCCAGAGAAGCCACCGTCCTTGGGCCTCGGGAGCAGGGCTAGATGACAGTTGGGAGGATGCTCGCAGTGTCCAGGCTGACAAGAAGTCTCCCGCTCAGTCACCGAGTGTGTCTGGAGGTAGAACTGCAGCCAGAACCTGACCACTAGGAGTCAGAAGACGATGTACATAAACATCCTTAGCTGAGCCAGACAACGTAGCATAGTCCTTTAATCCCAGCACTCGGGAGGCAGAGGGAGACAAATTTCTGTGAGTTCCAGGACAGCCAGGGTGGTTACATAGAGAAACCCAGTCTCGAAAAACTTAAACAAACAAACAAAAAACAACAACAAAAAAATCTTTAGCTGAAAGTTTTTTCAGAGCCCCTTGATGGCACATTAAAAACTCTGTTGGAACCAGTTGGGATGGACAAGCCTTAGGAGGGGATAAGATTTTGGCTCTGAGGCGGGGTGAAATTTCAACTGGAGCCTGGTTTGTATTGGTCTGGCTGATGAGAATAACTTTCAAGGCCATTGTGCCCTATGATCACTATGATTCCTTCATTTTTGTCCCATGACCATCATGTTCCCAATGCTGGTTCATCTCTAAGCCCCGTCTACCTTTTAAACTGTGGTCATGACCTTCTGAGACATGGCCTGGATGTTTGAATCTTTTTATGCCACACTTCGGAACTCTAAATGCTAGGGTGTTAAAGTAAATGGCTTGAGTCCCTTTGTTTTCCATACTCAGCCCATACTTCCTCTCCTCCTTGTGACTGTGACTTTGTCTCTGACTCCTCATCTTATCCCCTGCCAGAGCATGGCTAGTGCGGCGAGGGAGCTGGTTATCCAGAGGATGAGCCTGGTGAGGAGCCTGTGTGAGAGTGAGGAACAGCGGCTGCTGGAGCAGGTGCTCGGTGAAGAGGAGCGGGCTCACCAGAGTATCCTGACTCAGCAGGCACATTGGACGGAGGCACTGAGAAAGCTGGACACCCTCCGTACCAGCCTGGTGGGCATGCTCACCCATCTGGATGACCTCCAGCTGATTGTAAGTCAGGAGAGGGTGAGGACACAGAAGGTTGGCCAGGTTCCCCCAGATTTGAAGACCTCAAGAATGCCAAAAAGATGGCCTTGGGATAGGGATGAGTAACAGACTTGTGAAGCTGTTTCTATTCTGGCCCATCTAATGATTTGCTTCTGTAGCAAAGAACCCAGCTAAATCAGCTTGGCCAAAAACCCCCACCACTGATAGCCCTTGGCATTTATCAGATTCCACTTCTCCACTATCCCCAAGGTCTGTCTTTAGCAAGAATCCTGTCAGGTAGGTTTAGCTAGGATCCCCCTCCCCCTCAATGTTTCCTCTTTAGTCAGCAGTTGCGGCCTCTTAGGGGGCTGAACAACCCTTTCACTGGGGTTGGGAATCACAGATATTGACATTATGATTTGTACAGCAGCAAAATTACAGTTATGAAGTAGCAATGAAAATAATCTTATGATGGGGTCACCTCACATGAGGGACTGTATTAAAGGGTCAGACATTCGGAAGATTGAGAACCACTGCTATTACACAGTGATCCCACCCTGCTCTGTGGCCATCAGTTCCCATGCTGCATTCAAAGTTGAACTCAATCTCTCTCACCTACTGCAAGATCCCTGGCAGTAGTCCCTATAGCTATCTTCTTTACTTTCAACAGCAAGCAAATACTTACTGAGTGCCTTTGTGTTATGTAATGGGGCAGAGCCACAGGGCACAGCTGCAGTTGCTCTGAGCTCTACCTAAGAGTTGCTACATAAACTGACAAGTAGAATGTGTCATGGTAGTAGAGTAATCCCTCTGAGGTCAGAACACCCACAAGGTGGGAGGGATAGACCACAGAGCTTCCTGGATGAAGTGACTTTGAAGTAATGAGAAAAGTACCCAGGTGCAGGGAGTTGGGGCGTGCAGAGTGCTCAGAAGCACTAGGGGAGAAGGCAGCACTTGGTGCAGATAAGGCCCCAATATAAAAACACATTCTTGGGTTTACCAGACATAATCACAACTAGTCTTTAGTGCACTGCTTTTCAAAGTACTTTATAGATATGCAGAAGCCTCCAGTTTTGAGGGACAGTAGACACCTAAGTGTCTACCTGCAGAGGAGGAATGAAGAACAAACAGGAAGGTAGTCTGACTGCCCTCGATTGTGAATTCACTAGGCACCAGCTTCCAGGCAAGGGCACATCCTGTCCCAGCAACTGGGACCCTCACAGGCCTCTGAGAGCAGGTGGTCTCCATGGCGGGTGGCACTGGCTCTGTGGAAGATGGCGCTGAACTGGAGTTGAGAGGAGCCTGGTTCGCCACAGGGGAGGGGCAATGGCTGATTCATTTTTGTGTATGTTAGGAGGCTAGGCCTTTGTTGTGAAGCCGGCATCCACACAGTTGTGTGCAGGGAAATGTGTCAGGTCATGTTCACACACTGGGTGTCTGCTGCCAGCCTGACCATGTTTTCCTCTCTTGCAGCAGAAGGAGCATGAGATTGTTGAGAGGTGAGTGTGGCCCTATAACTTGCTCAGGCTGTCACTGAGACCCCCTTCCTTCCTCCCAGGCCATTGCAACTTCCTAAAGCCTAGCTCCAAGGTCAGAGGTCAGGCCAGGCCTTCTCACCCTCCATATCTTCTTCAGATCCATATCGAAAGGAAGTAAAGCAAATACTTATTAGCTAGGGCCTTGCCCTGGGCTTTCCTAAACTTTATCCTACTTCAACTATGGTTACTCTGGATAAGAATCCTGAGACTCAGAACTGGGGCCTGGACTCACTGATACCTGCTTCCTTGGTGTCTCCTCTACCTTTCTTTCTGCAATGAACGAGTTTTTAAGACTTAAGGCTGCATTACCACTCAATTCCCCATCCTAATTGTTAAGTAGTTAAAGAATTTCAACAGGCCATTTCTGAATGCTAGAAGGTTGAGAGGCCAGGGCCTGAGGAAATGACCAAATAGATGAAATTAGCCAGGCAAGGTGATTAGCCAATCCCAATAGGGTTGTTGCTTGGTATACAGTGCTTTTACCTGGTTTGTACAAAGTTCTGGGTTCAATTCCCAGCCTCTAAAATGAAAAAGATTTAAAATGGAAAGTGAGCCTTTATCAAATCAGCCCTTCCCAATCTGTTTCCCTAGAGATGTGGTTCGTTTTAAGAATTAGTTAATTACTTCGTGTGTGTAGGTGCATGCAGGTGCCATGGCTCATGTGTGGGTCAGGGGACAACTTATGGGAGCTGTTCCTCTGCTTCCACCGTGTGAGTCCTGGATCGCCAACCTTTATCCACCGAGTCCGTGCTCCAGTCTCAGATGTGGGATTCCAAACTCTGACTAGATTTGGGATTTTGGCTTTCTTATTTAATTGGAATATATGTGGCTTCGTGTGTGTTTCTTTTTTGCCTCCTTTTAATGATATATATAGCCTGGGCTGTGATGTCACTGTCCCGTTATCAAGGCTATTACGTTTGAACGCTTGAATGAAGTGGTGGGCATTTCAGGTGTCGTCAGCCAGGTTCTTCATTATAAGGGTGCATTTTCTCTTTCATAATTGATGAGCCAACAATGAAAGGCACTTTCTGTGTGTTTCCTGTTAGCTTCCAGATTTTTACCGCAAGAGTTTTGCACCCATGTTAATTTCTGCCCGAGTTGTTCATTTGTTTTTTCACTTATTCCCTCTTATTGGAACCAGTGCCAGTCACAGATCCTGATCTTCTCTGCTGCATAGTAAAGCCCTGCTGCCGCTGTGGTTGCTTTGACCTTCAGGTTGCCCGCGTTTGACCGGTCACTGGCTTGTCTGTTTGACAGGTCCCCTCTTCTTTGAGTATTTCTTACTGTGGCACAAAAGATGTCCCCAGGAGTGGGAGGGTTGGAGAGTGGCTCAGCAGTTAGAGACCTTACTCTTCTTACAGAGGACCTGGGTTTGGTTCCCAACACCCACAAGGTGGCTTGCAACCCATAATCTGATGTCTCCTGATCTCCTTGGGTGCCAGGCACACATGTGGTACACATTCTTACCCAGTTATCCCTGGTTCAGATTGGATTTTGCGGCCCTAGCTCTGGAACCAGCTGTTTCCCCAGGGGTCTTCTATCTGTTTTTAGCAGGATGGGACATCAAGTGTTCTCGCTGCTACTGACATGTCATTGTACTGGACCTTTCATCAGAGTGGGGGATATTTGTAACTTCTTATGCACGAATCTGTATCATAACTTCTAATTCCAGTCTAACACTGCAGTTAACACTGCCTTTGCCTGCCTCCAGTTTCATATTTGTATCTTATACTAAGAACCTAGGCCTGATAGCCCTTGCCTTTAATCCCAGTACTTGGGAGACAGAGGCAGATAGATCTCTGTGAGTTCAAGGCCAGCCTGATCCACATAGTTCCAGGAGAGCTAGGGCTACATAGAGATACCCTCTCTTAAAAAACCACTGCTACCACCACCACCACCACTAATAATAATAATAACAACAACAACAACCAGAAGAGTCTCAGCTCCCAACAAGGCCAATAGCTTATTCATTTGCTTAGTCCTTCAGCACATGATTGTTGAATTGCTGAGTCCGTACTTCTTCCATTGAGAAACCTACTGGTAGAATTGAAGATTTGTCTGTAGTGCTTTGTGCTCTCCCAAGAGCTGTTGTCAGGCCCATCTAGGTGGGATCTCACTTATCTAATGAGAACTGCTTTGTTGGCTCTGGTATGTCCACACCTTTGGTGGCAGAGTGGCAACAAGTCCCCACTGCACAGGCAGACTATTCTGATTCCAGCCAGGCTTTGCTCTATTCAAGTCCCACTGTACCTTGGGGCCATGACTATTGTGTTCTGTCCCACGCAATAGCTGACGGGTGGCTCTCTGTTGACTTTAGTCCATGGGTGGTCTCAGCTCTGTTCTGGAAGGACAGCTCAGTTGCTGACACTGTCTCCCCGTTAGCTGGGGCTTCTCCACATTGTGCTGTTATGTTTTGAGAGCACAGGCTCTCTCTTGTTTGTTTTCAGGGCCTATTGTCAGCATTTGTACCTCCTCACTTCTAAGGCTGCTCATCTCATTCTTCAGGCCAGGACAGTCAGTGACAGTCTCACAGAGGAGACTGCACGTATCAGAGGAGCACCTCTGGATGGCCTCAGGCCATCTTCAGAATTAGAGGTAGAGGAGCATTCCTTTTGAGAAGCCAGGTTGGAGGACTGCAAAGTATCAGATGAGTTCCTGCTTCACTTTTTGTCCCTTTGAGATTTCATTTCAGATTGGGGGGGAAACGTGTTGAATGTTGCCCGGGCTCATTCAGCTGGGCCAAGTCTATTCTATTTTTTTTTTTTTACATGGAAACAAGACTTGAATCCAGCTCCCATTTTCTACTCAGTGTCTTCCATAAAGCTCCATTCTGGTGTCGAATGGAGAACCTACTACCTTCCCATTACAACACAGTCTAAGTGATCATGTATAAAACAGTAAACACAGAGGCCAAACATCTGGATAGACAGCATCCTGCTCTTAGGCAGTCCCTCGTTGGCTCGTTTTAATATTTATCTATCGTGTGTGTGTGTGTGTGTGTGTGTGTGTGTGTGTGTGCCTGTGTGTATGTAAGTGCACCATGATGTGGAGCAGCCTGAGGATATTTGAAGAGGACATTGGATTCTCTGCAGCTGGAGCTACAGAGGTTGAGAGCTTCCATGTGGGTTCTGGGACTTGAACCAGAGTCTTCTACAAGAGCAACAAATCCTCATAACTGCTAAACCATGTCTCTGGCCCTCGTGGGGTTTTTTCTTTTGTGTGTGTGTGTGTATTTGTGTGTTGTCTATATATATACCTGCATGTTCGTGTGTGTAAATACCATCGTGCATGTGGAGGTTAGAGAACAATCTCAGATGCTGGTTCTGACAGGGTCTCCTTGTTAGCCTACACCAGGCTAGCTGGCCTTTGAGCTTCCTCTCTCCACCTCTCATCTCGCCTAGAAGCACAGGGATCGTAGGTGCATGCTATCTCATCACGTTTTACATGGGTTTTGGGGATTCAGCCCTTGGTCCTCAACTTGTACTGCAAGTGATTTACCTATTGAGTCACCTCCCCAGCTTTAAGGAATTCCACCCTGAGGACTAAATGTCCCAATTCTGTGTGGTCCTCAGCTAAGGGTGTTTGTGTTTAAGAACCGAGGAATGGCTGGGATCTTTGGACTGTTGCAGTGGGTTTTAGAGGAGGTGAGATATTTTCTGGATAGTATATAAAGAAATGTTATCACACAGCAGCTCCCCAGGCCCAGATCCTATCCCACCTCTGCTGTCAGAACACACAGCCTCCAGTCTCCACTCTGTGTTTGCATGCCTGCATGCGTGTGTGTGTGTGTGTGTGTGTGTGTGTGTGTGTTGGTGAGTGCAAGTGTTCACAGAAGCTTTCTGATCCCCTGAAATTGGGGTGAGAGGTGGTTGTATTGGAGTTGGGGACTTCTGCAGAAGCGGTAGGCACTCTTAACTGCTGAGGTGTCTCCAGGCTCTGCCCCCACTGTTAAGACCAGTTAAGAATATACTTCCCTATATACTGTTTGCTTTGCTGGAATGAAGGTCCCTGGGGAGGGGGAGTCAGGAAAAGCCACTTTCCCTCTGGCTAATACAATCATGGTGTCACCTACAAAGGAAGGATTTCACTTCTGTTTTCCTCTCCTCACTCATGTAGATCCAGGTGCATTTCCAGAACCTTCTTGAACCTCTGTCTCTTTTTTCCCCCTGCATTAGGGCTGAGGAAGCAGAGGGCGTTTTGGATCCCCAGGAGTCAGATAAATTAAGCTTTAACGAGAAGCGTGCTTGGAGCCCACTGCTGACTCAACTCTGGGCAACATCGGTCTTCGGGTCTCTCTCAGGTTAGGAGCTACTAGACTGCAGCACAGCCTGCAGTGTGTGGGGGTGGGGAGGGGTTGCCCGGATCCTTCCTTCCCGTTTCTCTATGGTTAGGTAAAGGATAAATTATGTTCCTTTAAGTTCCGTCCCCTTTACATCTCACCTCTCTGGGACAGCGCCTTATCATTTATTGGAAACCTCAGATTCCTTTTTAAAGTAGAATGACATCTACCTGGAGATCACTGGTACCACAGTGAAGCTGCCAGGGCTTGCCTCACCCATTCACTTAACAAACACCGGCCTAAATGAGTGTGGTGATGCTCAGCGCTTGGGCAGCTGAGGCAGGAACTCTGAGTTCGAGGCCAGGCTAGCTGCCTCTCTTCCTGTCTGAGACCCTGTCTGAGTTTGAGGCCAAGCTAGCTGCCTCTCCCCCTGTCTGAGACCCTGTCTGAATTTGAGGCCAGGCAAGCTGCATCTCTCCCTGTCTGAGACCCTGTCTGAGTTCGAGGCCAGGCTAGCTGCCTCTTTCCCTATCTGAGACCCTGTCTCAAACACAAGAGGACAACAAAATGTTGACTGCTGTTGAATGTTGGCCTGTGCTGCATACTGGGCCGTCAGAGGCGAAACTTACTGTCTCCCAGAATTCCACTGGGTTAGGTGGAAGCTCATATGTCCCCTGGTGACAGACTGAAGCTTTCTCAGTTTTAACTCTCCCCTGCAGGTTATCCATGTAATATATGTATATGTAATTATTATTATGACCAGTAATAGCGTTGTGCTCTAGATTCTGGTATCATGGTTAACTTCTGACAACTGCTTTTGTCATGCTTCCTAGTTTTGGGCTCTGCCCTCAGGATATCAGCTCTGGAAGCCATAGATAGGATCAGCTCAAAAGCAATAAGATAGGGAAAATTAAATACTGTGTATTCATTTGACCCTACCACCAGCTTGACGTGGGAACTTGGACAACTCACTTCTTTCTATCAGAATTTGTACATGAAGATTTTAGACCAATGTTCTCCTGGCTCTAGCTACTCAGCATGGTCTATGCAAGGCACTTGACACACACTACCTTAGCTAGTCCCCATGACTACCCTGTGACAAGTACTTTAAAGAGGAAGAAACTGAGGCTTAGGGAGAGTAGATGGCTGTCTGAGGTCAGTGAGTGGTACCTGGTAGGAGCAGATTAGGAATGGAGCAGGGGTAGGACTCGGGACAACCCTGAGGATTCTCTCTGGCAGGCATGGAGGAGGTGCATATCAATGAAAGGACTGTCAGCCCCTTGCTGCATTTGTCTGAAGATCGACGGACCCTGACCTTCAGTGCCAAGAAGTCCAAGGCCTGCTCAGATGACCCCGAACGCTTTGACCACTGGCCTAATGCCTTGGCTGCCACCACCTTCCATGCCGGACTCCACGCCTGGATAGTGAATGTTCAGCATAGCTGTGCCTATAAAGTGGGCGTCGCCTCAGCCCAGCTGCCTCGAAAGGGCTCTGGCAGTGACTGCCGCCTGGGCCACAATGCCTTCTCCTGGGTCTTCTCCCGCTATGCTCAAGAGTTCCGTTTCTCACACAATGGGCAGCACGAGCCTCTGGCGTTGCTTCGGTGCCCAGCACAGCTGGGCGTGCTGCTGGACCTCCAAGCAGGAGAGCTGGTCTTCTGTGAGCCTGCTTCAGGGACGGTGCTTCACATCCACCGCACGTCTTTCCCTCGACCGCTGCTCCCAGTCTTTGCCGTGGCTGACCAGCTCATCTCCATTGTTCACCAGTGGCCACAGTGAGGCCAGATCCACACCCCTGTCACCCTTACAGGCCATGCTTCCAGCTAGTGTGCTGTTCCCCCATGGGATCTGCTTCAAACTCAGACATAACCTTTCAGTGTTGATCATCTGTGGGAAACCTGTTTCTCTCTTGGCCTTACTCTCCCAAACCCACCGTTCCTTGTGCTCTTCTGAGGATCTCATAAATCTGTGTCTCTGCCATCCAGCATGGTTCCTGGTGCACAGTGAGGGAGTATATGGCTGGGCAGGTTGATGACCTGTGATGTCGTAGTTCCTGGAGTGTCTCTGCAGAGAAGCCTGTGGTGAAGATTCCCTAGCCTCGCAGCTCAGTAGTTCTTGGTCTTTTTCATGATACAGCTTGTGGAGAGAATATTTTTCTAGCATACAAAGGACAACCTGCCAGGAAGCTCTTGGCCAGAAAACAGGCCTGGAAGTGTCATGCCTTCCTCCCACATTCTGCCATGGCGCTAGTATCCTGTCCCCAGGAAGTGTGCTTGTAGCAGTTGTGGGCATTTGTCCCAGGCCCTGAGGCTGAGCTGTAGCATGGACCTGCCTGTGATAGGGTGATCCCCCTCTCTGTGCTTCTCTTGGGGAGGAGACCTGGCTGGAGAGCTTCATACCAGAAGAGCTGAGGGGAAAGGAGGACTATCCTTAATGGATGAATGTGAGTGTCGTTAGAGGTTTCTGGATGCTTAGTGATGTCTTGGCTGTAACTGGCTTCAAGCTGCAAGGCAGCCTTGAGTACAGGCTTAGAAATAAGTGGGCCGTGGCTCCCCTAGCAGAAAGGTCCTGGAGATGTTGAACCAAAAGCACGTCTCTTTGCCATTTCCTCCATAACGAGCTCATCTGAGGATGACATTTTTGTGAGAACTGGGGAGGAAGCTTGGTGGCAGAGCACCTGGCTAGCATGCCAAAAGCCCCGAGTTCCATTCCTAGCACTGCAAACTGAGAAGTATGAAAACCAGTCAGGGTGGCCACAAGTCCAGCTGGCAAATAATCACTGTTCTGCTTCAGTCCCTTACTGCCATGCAGAAACGGGGTCCCAAGATGCCTGGGAGGACTATGGGTTCATATGTACATGTGTGTAAATACATGTGTGTAAATAGGCATGCATGTATGTAAGTGCATCTTCAGAAGTGCCATCTCCCCTTTGGAGACAGTCTCCAGTTGGCCGGGAGCTCATCACCTAGGGGCGATGGCCAGTGGACCTCAAGGAACTGTCTTGGTCTCCCCGCTGCTGGATTCCAGGTGCATATCACACCACCTGGCAAGTTTATGTGGGTTTTGATGATCACATTTGGGCTCATGTTAGTAGTGAGCAAGCATTTTACCATTGAACTTTCTCCCTAGTCTTTTTGATTTTAGTTTTTAATTTATTATTGTGCTTAATATGAGGTGGCATTCGCATGCCAGGGTGCACATGCATAAGTCATCAGAGGATAGCTGTGTTGTTGTAGAGTCTCCCCCATCTCTGTGGTGTATCCCTGGCTATCCTGGAACTCGCTCTGTAGACAAGCCTGCCTCTACCTCCTACGTGCTGGGATTAAGGATGTGTGCCGCCACCACCTGGCTCCTTTGTTGCTTTTTTACTGTTTCATACAGCCTAGGCTGGCCTTGAACTCACTATGTAGCCTCTACCTCTAGAATGCCAGGGTTACAGACAGTGCCACTGTGTTCATATGTGAAATGTTGTTAGGTTTGTTTACTCACTTATTCAAAACTCTGGTCAGATCAAACCACAGGTCTGCTATCGTCAGCTAACTTTTGTTGAAGGTTTCTGAGACCCTTGTAGCTGGGACCACAGCTCATGCCTTGTGTTCACTGCCTGACCCTTAGGAGTTACTACTGAGTCATCAGATCCAGGGCAGAAAGGTTTCGTCAGTCTGAAGAGCTCTGCCATTGCCTGGACATGGGCTCTGTTAAAACAAAACATCTAGGGACAAAGTCACCCTCTTCCACTAGTATCCAGAGGCCCCAGGTCATGCCCTGACAGTGTTCAGCTCACAGTTCGTGGTGGGGCTGTTGCAAACACACCTCTTCCTCTGACTGTCCAGATATCACCCAAGCTTTATTCCCTGATGAAGTCCCCTCCAGAGTCACTGTTGTGTCAGAGCATATATACTCATGTTTATCTCTGCTGATAGCCCATGCTATCCCCTGCGCCCAGCAATGAACAAGGCATAGATTTATCTAATAGACAACATCTGAATAGGTAAGACAGGAAGGAAAATTAAATTGAAAAAAAAAAAAAAACAGCCAGGTGTCATGGCCCACACTCATCCCAGCACTTGGGAGGCAAAACCAGGAGTTCAAGGCCAGCCTGGTATACAAAGCAAGTTCTAGGACAACCAGGACTACACAGAGAGACCCTGGCTTGAAAGGAAAAAAAAAATCCACTGCACTCACACATGCCGCGGTCCCTGTCTAGTTGTGACCCAGTGGTTAAGTCAATAGTTTTTGAGTCAGACAGGCAAATTTGGAATCCAGGTTCCCTCACAAGTGTGACCACAGACAGATTAAGCCCTGGATCTTGGTTTCTTCATATGTAAAGTGGGGTTATGCCACCTCTGCCCACTGAATAGCTTTGCGGTAAAAAGATTTAGTGGGCTGTGCGTGGTGGCGCATGCCTTTAAGCCCTCAGGGAGGTAGAGGCAGGCGGATCTCTGGGTTCAAGACCAGTGTGGTCTACAGAGAGAGTTCCAGGATAGGCTCCAAATCTACACAGAGAAACCCTGCCTCAAAAACAAAACAAAACATTTATCAGGGTATCTTGCAGGGCAGGCACAAGCCAGCAGTGTCCTTCTTCGAACCAGTTATAGTGTCGTCCTCTCAAGGGTCACAGCGTCCCTACTGTATAGCCCAGCACCCTGATTCATCTAACCCTGAGGTGCCAAGGTTGGGAATGGATTTCTGTTTCAACTTCTCTGGGCTTTTTTGATTTTGTGTGCTGCACAGTGGGGTGTCAGACTTCCAGTGACAACAAGCCCTTGCTGTAAAGGCGAGGGAGAGAGAATGAGAATATATCTGGTTTGAACACAGGGCCTCATAAGGCAGACAAGTGCTCTACTGCTGATCCACGTCCCTAGCTCTTAAAAGAGTGGCTCACCTGTGATTCTAGGATTCAGAAGGCTGATGGAGAAAGACCATGAGCTCCAGGCCAGTGTGGACTAGAGACCGTTCACATCAACCTGGTTGTGAATAGGGTCCCTCCGTGGATATGGAGCAGGTTATGATAGAAGGGACAGAGGAACTGGTGAGACAGCCGGGTGCATAATAGCACATGTGCACATGATCTCAGTCCCATCCCCAGAACCCATGGGAAGATGGAGAGACCAGAGTCTATAAAATTAGCCTCTGACCCACACCCCCATATAATAATAAATTAAGAGGGACGGAAGTATGAATAATGAGTGAACTCAAAAACTAGGCTACTGCCAAGCTCTTGCTGTTCCAGGATCAGAATAGTTTATCGAGGTTGCGGAGGGAAAGCAGGAGGGGAGAAAGAAGGGACTCCTTGCTTCGAGTGTTTATTTGGTCCCACCTCCTTCCCTCATCAGACTTGAGGCCTCCAGAAGGTCCAGGGCAGGCAGGAGATGGGACAGAGAGAGCAGAATGTGCTCTTTAGGTACAGAATCTCTGACTGAGGAGTGCAAAGGCTCTGGACCTACCACCAGGAAGCTGTGCATGCCCACAGCCCGAGCTCCCTGGTAATCACAGGGGTAACTATCCCCAATATGAGCTGCCACCGCAGGTTCTACCTGAGCAAGTTGCAAGGCCTTGTGGAAAATTCGTGGGTCTGGTTTAGGACAGCCCATAGCCTCAGAAGTCAAAACAAACTCAAAATGTTCTCGCAGGCCGAGGCCTACTAGGATGTCCTCTAGGCGTCGGTCAAAATTGGAGATCACAGCCAGCCTCAGACCCCGCTTGCGGCACTCCTTCAGGGTAGTCTCAGCCCCCTCCAGCACCTGCCAGGTGGAGGGGCTGCTGAAGTCCTCATAGAGTTGATCAGCAATGGGAGTAATGGCCCGGGCATCTGGGACCCCTGCCAGGTGGAAGGTGTGGAGGACCAAGTCCTTCCACCATTGACGGGAGGTAAGGCCACAGTTCTGGCCATAGTTGGGAAAGTTGTGGCTCTGAGCCTGGTATGCCTGCCCAAAGGCTTGTTCCAGGGCTGTGGCTTCTACCACCAGCCCATGGGCCCGGGCCTTGCTGGCATAGTCCTCCCCAATAGAACGGCGGAACTTGATCAGGGTATCCTTTACATCCCACGTCAGAAGACGCATCTGCAGCCGATGGGCCATGGACAGCAAGGTCACTGTAAGTCACAGATCAAAGAAGATACTAAACTGGTTCAGGTCTCCTCTACAGGTCCCAGGCTGTGTAGGTCAGAGTTGTAGGCAGACACGAGGCACTTTGGAAATGTCTTTCAGTACAAGATCCTGGAATGAACATTGGCAGGTGAGATGGACCCTGATGTTAGAGACTTGGGTCAACATTCTGAAGGACAAAGTTCATGTCCTGAGAAATTACTCTCTGAATACCTGTGCCTCATTTGGTAGAGTGCTTGCCTAGCACACATAAAGCCTGGGTCGATCCCCATACCGAATAAGCTTGGCATAGCGCATACACCTATAATCCCAGCGACTAGGAGGAAAAGGCAAGAGAATCAGAAGTTCAAAGTCATCCTTGGCTACATAGCAAGCCTAAGACCAACCTGAGCTGAACCTGTCTCAAAAAACCCAACGTAGATTTTTGTACTAAATGAAATTATTTATGCATACACTTTAAACCAAATTTCTGGGCATCTTATGAGCCGTATGTTGGGGAAGAAGACAGATTTCTAGCCCCTGCGGCATTCCTAGGCATTAAATGATAAGGGTTTCTCTGTAGACAAAGTTAGTCTCTGACTTCGGGACATTTCCCTGGCAGGTGAAGTTCTGGGGCCTTGAGGCTGGGCATAGTGCTCCAGTGGAGCTGAGCTCAGCTACACAGCTTTGTAGGTCCAAGTCGGGAAGCAGTTAAGATTGCTGTTATCTCTACGCTGTATTTTGCCTTCATGTAAGTACACCTCAGTCACGTTTGGTGCCTGTGGAGCCAGAAGGTTTCAAATGCCCTGGAACAGAAGTTTCAGACAGTTGTGAACTGCCGTGTGTGTGTGTGTGTGTGTGTGTGTGTGTGTGTGTGTGTGTGTGTCGAGAACTGAACCCAGGCCATCTGAGCCCATGACACTGTTAAAATTAATAGTAAATGTGATCCTACTTTGAAGACCCATGCCCGACTTTCTCCTGACTCTCATGATTAAGCCTATACTAAAATATCAGTAATAAAGTCTCCAACTTCATCAAAAAAACCAAAAACCTACTAGTAATGTCAAAAGAGAGGATGGTCCCTGATCTGACGAGCAATATGGCTGGAGAGGGGAGGATGGAGCCAGTGAGAGGCAGTTTCTTGGCTACAGTCACAGTCCGTCTGCAAACACAGCCAGGATTAGAACCTAAATGTCCAGACACGGTTCCCTTCAACTGGACTTTGCTTACCTATATTTATATTCTTTCAGAAATTGGGTTATGCTGAGCCTGTACAGGGTGGGACAGAAGAGAGTCTGTTCCTACCTGGCTCTTAGCTGCAGCTTCTCCATCCTTGCTAGAGTTTGTAATAACAGCTGCCACCGAGGCCAACTCAGAAGGGCAACTGACCCAATGCCCAGACGCGTTCCGGAGTCAGAGACCGATTGCAGCTTTCTCCCCCAGACAGACCTGACTGCAGACAAAACTGTCTCTTTGATTCTGAGGGGGCGGATTCATTCAGAATGCTGCCAAGCAGGCACAGATAGAGGTGTGGGTAGGGGAGGGCGCTCAGAGAAATGTGACAAAGAGGAGGATTTAAATCAGCTTGATAAAGGGAGACCACTTTAAAGGGGCTCTTACTGCTCAAGTGGGTAGGCCGAGGCCCAACCAGGAACCTGACTGCATCCTAAACACCTCGGGACACCTCTGGCTCAGCTATGGCCCAGGAAAAAAAAAACGTGTAGCGGGGTGGGGGCTTCCAGACAGGCCTGACCACCCTGAAAGCAGCGTGACCCGGGCTCCAGCGTCCCCCGCTCGGCCGCACAGCGCCCCCACGGCTCAGCGGCTCCCACCCCGGGGCCCGGCACTACCTGGTTCAGGGAAAGAGACCAGAGAGGCAGCGGCTGCTCCACCGGCTCCACAGAGACGCAGAAGCTCGCGACCCGCGCCTACTTGACCGTACTTCTCGCCCCGCCCTGCTCTCGGCGTCACCAAGCTCCTCCCTCGTGCCGGTCTCCGGTCTTCGTTCCTTCCGTTACCCAGTAGCCACCCTGCTCCTGGTCCCAAGCCGTCCCTCCGTCCTCCTGCTTCTCAAGGTCACAATCTCAACCCGTGATTCTCTCAGCTTTTCTCTACCCCGCCCGCGTCCCCACTTCCCACATCCCAGGAATGGGGACACCCTGGGAAGTACCTAGACTGATTTGGGTCTCAGCCTGTCTCCCCTAGTGCATGTAGTGAGGACTCCAGCAATGCGCTATTGATACATCTCTGTTCTGAGAGACCCCAATGGGTTCTAGAAAGAAATTGCTTGTCACACCCACAGAGGTCATTGAGGTAGGTAGGGTCCTCTGCAGTAACCTAGACAGTTTAGTTTAGTTTTTTTGAGACAAGACAGTTTTGGAGCCTTCCCTGGTACTAGCTCTTGTAGACCAGGCTGGCCTCGAATTCACAGAGATCTGCCTGCCTCTGCCACCCCAGTGCTGGGATTAAAGGCATGTGCCACCACCCCCCGGCTAGACACTTAGTTTTATGATAGGGTTCCACTATGCAGGTCAAACTGGCAGTGAACATCTCTTGCGTCAGCCTGCCAAGTGCTGGGATTATAGACACGCCACCACCGAGTTTGTCTACCCTAGGTCTTAAGGGTAAGGAAGAGTCGTATTTTCATAACTGAAACACACTTTATCTTAAAAAAAAAAAAAAAACTGTCGGAAGCAAACAAAGCTGCACCCTCAACTTTGTTGATTCGCCACGTGCTAAGCAAGCCCCTGTGCTCTGTGCCTGACCCATTCCTTCTTCACTGAGGACACAGCAGGAAAACAGCAGTTTCCTGCCTACACGAAAATCAAGCTAATACACAAGGGTTTTGGGAGAGGCACTTCCCACTGCTCTTTACTGCCCTCCCCCCACATGTCATCTCCTGGTTCTCTGTGGACTTTGGATGAACTCAACTTGTTTCACTGGGCC